AAATAAGATATAATTGCATAAAAGGCAAAATATGATCTGAGTGATTAATATTAGGTCACTGTGATTAAAGTTTCATAGAGATATGATAAAACAACTGAGAATGTCACTTTTTTTGGTAAAAGCATGTACACAATTATTATAAATTGCATTATTCATACCAATTTATTGACAACAGTCTGGATTTTGTAAGATGCTATGACCCTGCTCTCAAGAATATTTAGAATGTTGGTTCAACATAAGGAATTATGAGATTATATCAAAATTTCTTATTTTCACGCCAAAGGACTTATGTTATGAACATTTTGAGGACTCCTAGTATATTTTAGACAAACATGGCAGTGTTTATATTAATGTTAAAAAACATCAGGTCACATTAAGAAATACACAGTGATCATGGTTAATGCATACCAAAATCAGGAATTATGAGATTATATCAATACTTCTTATTTCCATGCCAAATGAATTAATATGAACATTATTGAGGACCCCTAGTATATTTTAAACAAATATGGCAGTGTTTACATGAATGTTAAAGCATCAGGTCACATTAAGAAATACACAGTAATCATGGCTAAATGCATAGATGACCTTCATAGAAAATGTAAAGAAAAGTAAGTCAAACTTACCAGAGATCCAAGTCTATACCCAGTATCTATTAAATAAACCAGTGAAATGATTTAATAAAAGGCGTATATTAAAACTTAAAAAATTCAGTGTTACTATTTTTCATTGTACAAACCATGTTGGTTTTTGGTGTGTCAAAACATGTAGCTGGAGAGGCTGTGAATGAATGGTATGACGTCACAATAAAGATTTGAATCGCTGCCAAGACGAACACAAGACGTACAAAAAAATGTAAGTAAAACATATTTTTGCACACGATTTCCCCCAAGGGTATATAAAGCAGAGCCGGGAGTATAAGGATCAGTCTTCAGTTAACACTTGGTACTAGACAGACGTTTAAGATGGCAGAGGAAAATTCCATGAATCCACCTGCAACCTTACCAGAGACACAGAATCTTATTGGAGTTAACGAAAGAAGTTTGATACGTGATATCTTAGAAGAAATGACCACGATAATGCAGGAAATTGATAATGATATGCGTAAGTTTAGAGAAGTGGTGATGCATGAGCTTCGTGAGTTTAGAGAAGAGATGAGGAATGAGATTCGTAATCTAGGAATGGAGGCAGACCAGGGAAAAATCCCCATTACTGTGAACAACAAGAGGAAAAACCTTAACACCCAGACAGAGAAGAAGCAGCAGCCACTGAAACTACAGAAGAAAAAGTAAAATTATGTATAATTTGAATAAATCATTCCAATTTTACTGTGTTATAATTTTTTTTTTATACTCAATGTGTGTATTGGTTTTCAGAAAATAGGTTACAGAGGCTTGCTGCTGTGATTGCCATGACGTCATAATGAACAGATTTGAATCGATACCAAGACGTAGTACAAACGTAATATCTTGCCTTTGGGGTGTGTACTAAATTCCTATATCCCTATATCCCCCTAGTGTACTAGGTTGACCCCCCTATCCAGGATCTTGGGGGAACAAAAGTGCACTCAGTTGACCCCCCTATCCAGGATCGGGGGGGGGGGGCAAAAAAGTGCACTCAGTTGAGCCGCCTATCCAGGATCTGGAGGGCGGATCTTTCGCCCCTGCCGGATCTAAATGACCCGGACCCAAAAGACCCAGCCAGCGAGGCTATCCGGACCCAAAACACCCAGCGGACCAGGCTTCTTATACTACTAACGGTCGAAATTAACCAGGTGGTCGAAGTTACACCATCCTAACCTATATCCTGACGTTAAATTCCATTTATATGGAAAGATTATGAGATGTGTGTAATGAAAAAAAGTCTTGTATCTATGCAAGTAAATTACTGCATAGTTACACCATTTGATAAATAAATACATCAATCAGTGGACGGGTTTGAACGTAAACCGTCTGATTTTAAATTCATTTATTTACCTTCGACCAGCCTTTATATATTCCAGTATTTTTTCCTTGCATCATGATAGGAAATTGACAAGTGCAGTCTACCCTTCAAACGAAATCGGCTCGACGTTTTCCGGTTTGAATAATTATGGAGAGAATGCAAGGTTTTCAGACTTGATTTTTAAGAAAACCGATACTTAGTCATTATAAATAAAATTACCATTTTTTAATTGACCATTAATTATAAAACCAAAGTATGGCATTATTAATATTAGTCATTTTATCCTTTGAAAATTTAAAGGGGGGGGGGAACGTGCGCCCCCCACGCCCCACCCCCTTAAATCCACCAGTGCTTACCTTTGCGAAAGTCTCATGGAGTCCATTTTTACAGACAAAATCTCAGAAGTTCCAGCTGCTATTATAAGTACAGAACTATTTCAACTTTCGTTTTGTGTCGGAATAGAAATCGTAAATCAATGAACATAAATTGATCATTTCATAATTTTGTTGTGGTGTATATTGGAAATGGCAGATCAATAAGTTTTAAAAAATATAAACAGATTTAAGTAAATTGGACAGTAAAAAAGTGTAGAGATATACTGGGTTAATGGCTGTACACAAAACTTGATTCATTCAAAACATTTATTATTGTAATAATCAGTCATGAATTGGTAAAAGATTAGAACATCAACATAATTCACTCGCATGTCGACATAAATAAGCTCCATAGTTTGCTGATGAATCTATGAATAAATATAAATTATTAACAGAAAATCTCTGAAGAAGCATAACACCTACTTGTTTAATTTATTCCCCATCAAAGAAATCTGCGGCCCCACCCCCTGAGCCGACATCCAGTAAAACAGAAATGGACGACCTAGAGAAAGAATTAGATCTAGAGAATATGAACATTGACAATGTAGACACATCAGTAAGTAAAGAGTTCTTTAGCTTTATAAATCTACCGGTAGATTAATTAATCACCTTGACCTAGTTATGTAGCCTTGACCTAATTTATATCTGTGCCTTGTAGGACCCTACAGGAGACCAGGTAATTTAGAACATCATGTTGACATGTTGGTTTTAGATTTTTATTGCATGTTACCTGCCCTACTTTTTCCAGTTATTTATTTGAAGAAACTGATCAACTTGAAGTTCTCTTATCAACAAAGTAAACATTTTTAAAAAAAGATTCTCAGAAAGAGTATTGTCCAAAAGAGAAAGATGTTTCAATGTTATATCCGCACTTTCTAAAGAAAGTTCGGGTATATTGGTGTTACCCTGGTCTGTTCGTTCGTCCGTCTGTCACACTTTCTTCTTAATCTAACTACTCCCACATTTTAAGCAGAATTTAATTCGTCTTTTAGAAACGGGGGTAAAAAAAATGACGTCTTTTTCTACAAAATCCTGGTTTCGTTTCCAGAACTCATCTGACATTTTATGCAGTAGCCTAATCATCTATTGGAAGATGATTGGTGGTGTCCTGTAGATTGTAGGTGTGCAATAAGGTTACGGAATTTTCATTTTCACCCTAGGGGTCAAATAGAGGTTGAATATGATGTTTTTCTCCAACCCCTGTTTCCAAGAACTCCCCATTTTATGCAGTAGCCTAATCATCTTTTGGAAGATGATTAGTAGTGTCCTGTAGATGTGCAATAAGGTTTCAGAATTCTCATTTTCACCCTAGGGGTCAAATGGGGGTTGAAAATAAAGTGTTTTCTAATACAAAAAGACCCTGATTCCCAGAACTCCTCTTACATTTTATGCAATAGTCTAATCATCTTTTGGAAGATGATTGGTGGTGTCCCGTAGGTGTGCAATAAAATTTTGAAATTTTCATTTTCACCCCGGGGGTCAAATGGGAGGGAGGGGTGAACAATGACGTTTAAAGTCTTAATGTCAAAGATTTCATGAGTTATGGTCTGGTTGTCTTTTTTCTTAATTTGACATTAAATACAGAAAGGGTCAAGAAAAAAAATGATGCAGCAAATCTTGTGTCTTCTATCCATGTTCCAAATTTGAATTCATAATGTCAAAGGGTTCTCAGTTTATGCCCTGAATTATATTTTCATGTAAAAATTGACCTTGACTTTATAATTGGGTCAAGGTAAAAAAATTGTTGGCATGCACCCTTTCTCCATACCACCTCTCCATGTTCCAAGATTGAAGTTTTAATGTCAAAGGTTTCTTAAGTTATGGTTTGGGGGTGTTTTTCTCAATTTGACCTTGAATAAAGAACAGAGTCTAGATTAAAATTTTGGTGCAGTTCATCTTGTGTAAATGTCTTCTTTCTTTGTTACAAGTTTGAAATCCTAATGTCAAAGGGTTCTCATGTTATAACCTGGACTATATTTTGATTGTCCTTGACCTTATCAAAAGGACAAGGTCAAAACATATTTTAGCCTCAGCCCCACCTCCATACCACCTCTCCATGCTCCAAGTTTGAAGTCTTTATGTCAAAGGTTGTCGAGTTACGGCTAGGACAAAATTTGATTGAAGAAGAAATTGACAAACAATATGTAGACTAGTATAGTCTACTTGTAGCATCAAAACTGTAGGAGGAGTAGAGTTTTATAAGAAGAACAAATTTGTTTCTACATTGTGTAATGAAATTTTCACATAAGATTCAACTTTTCTTGTCCAATGGTTCTTGAGAAGAAGCATTTTTTCTTATACAGTAAAGCATGCTTATAGCCAACATGAATTGACGCTTACAGCGAGGCAATTTTCATTTCCCATGACTTTAGAATATATTGTAAACTTAATGGACAGGATATGTATTTTTAGATGTATACATAAACAGATAATATGTTCTTTATAATTAAGCTATACAGACAAGTATAAAGGGATTGTCATCCTCTGAATCCTGTTTTTAAAATTGTTACAAAAACAATTTTATTTATACTAATATGGTTACATTTTCTCAATTAACTATTGGTGACTAGGTTTCATTAAAAATATCCAAATTATCCTTGCAATAATATCCCAATTTTTTTTAAATTAGGTAATTTCTCTTTCAGAAAACTTGAAAATGCAAAAACTGGATTCTTTATGTACCAGTACATCATCAAAAAACCTCTAAAAGTCTGAAAATTATTATAATGATTCTTACAATGGAAACTTTTTGAATTTCATGATATGGGTATTGTTTAAAAGATTGTTGGTACGAGTATAAAGCATCCAGGAGGTTCCCTGTCAACTGTTCACAGATCCCCAGAATCTGCCAGGATATGTCTCGGAGTCGTGAAGGAATATTTATCTCCTGATCCTGATGAACTAAGACCTGTAGATTGTGTAAGGCTGTTTGAGCTCTCATTGTATCCACATGTCTGCAGCACAGAACCTCAAGGAAATGAAGCTGAACCAATGGTGGGATGCACAGGGATGGCATAACGTTTTCTACACAGGCTTGCTGTTCCAGTATCAATTCATTGATGTAATTTATTTCATTGTCAAATTTAATGTCACGTGCTACAGCCCTCCTCAGCTTAGTGGACCATGACTGTCCCCCAACAGCCTCAGTATACCGTTCTTTCTGAACATTTTTGTTATAAATTATATGTGGCTGGGCTAACTTCATCTTTGTTAAGTCTATAAGAGATAAAGCTTCTTTGTATCTAAATGTCATATAAAAGTAAGTAGCAATATACAGCATGTCTGATACATACCCTAAGTGGGCTGCCACTATCAACATAAGACGACACATTTTATAAGTAACATACATAAGTTTGTTTGTACTCAGGTGTGTACTATTTAGGTTGTGTAGAATAAAAGCAAGTCTTTGAAGGAATGTTGCTGTACGCTTCTGCAGCATGACAATTTGAAACTGTGTTAGAGGTGATTGTATCAACTGTTCTACTGTTTGTAGGTATTTCATGCAGTGATGTAAATTTAATATGAACATTGCATCATTTAAGCGTATTTCAGTAAATAGTTCTAAATCAAACTCAATCTCAGAGATCAGAGTTTGTTCATCTGTACAGATGGATAGTGTGGGATTTTCAAAAACATTTATAACATACGGCCTGATAGATTCAATTTGTAAAACAGAGAATTTTACACCGTTTTCATACATTGCATACAGTCTAGTGAACAATTTAATTTGGGCTTTACCATATATTTTACCAAGGAACATGTTATTTTTTGGAATAAAAAAGTTAGGACAGGCCCCCTCATACACCCACTTAAGGATAAGTTTAAAGCAGACCCAGAAACATTCCAGGAGATTTTTTGGACACCAGTGGGACATTGTATTTTGTTGAATCACCCAGAAAACTGCTGTCTTCATGTGATAGGAAGACAATGACGTATCCCCATCACTTAATCCATTGTTTATAACTTCCTTTAAGAACAATTTAAGCAAACCGTACGTTAAGAATTGACAGTGATCCATTGCGCGCACGAGCTTTTGTTCTGCCAAAGCAAACGAAATTCTCCATTCGTCGATTTCATGATCTCCTGATTTATGTCCTATTGGTGCAAAATGACATCCATTTTGTAATATTTCATGAACAGTATTAGGACTTGGCCATGAAAGACATCTGTCTATCCAAGAAGAGGCAGATGGAGGCCAAAAATCACAGGCAAAACAGGGAGCATTATCATATTCTAACGTTCCTATAGATCCGCTCCCACACGGTCCATGAATTTTTGAATTAGGATTTATTGCAGAACACATGACCTGTCTGTACCTGGAGCTAGATAAATATAGTGTGTTATTTATTGTAACACATGCTGCTTGTAGTTTTTTATATGTGCTTGGCGAGAGTAAATAGAGCAGAGTATATCCTGGGGGACTTCTAGAACCGTCAGAAAGAATTACTTTTAGACTTCCTATTTTGTAAAACTGTATCTGAAACAGTTCCCAGATCACTCGATGGTCATTTTGCCAGAACATGGTGTCCTCGTCTGATCCTTTCATTCGGAATCCCTCTCTCTTACTTCCAGTTGTCATAATTGTGTTCTCATCATTGGTCTTTGTCCTGTTCCACAATAGCTCTGTAATGTTTAGTAGGTCTCTCCTCATGGCGACTTGTTGTGAGGTCCCCACCACACGACACAATCCCAAATACACTGACTCTGATACATGCTGTGTATCCGGCTCACTGACAATAAAGACAGAAGTAAGTAAGAATAAATTTTAGATCTGTTTATCTTAGAGGTAAAACAATTTAATGCAAATGTTTAGTTACCTTTGTACTATTATGATGGAAGACATTTTTCACCGGCAAGTTCCAACTCATGTGATCATTAATGGCACCAGCTAGTATATAGTTGATCATAAATGGCACCAGCCAGTAGTTGATCAATGAAAAGAATCATTGAATCATGGACGACTTTTAAATGCTGACGACGGAATCATGCTCTGTCATACGACCAATTTAAGTGTTTTGGATTTGTAATTTTAACATATGTTCTATTCTTCAATTTCGACATATATAATTCAACATTTGGAAACTTATCAGGGATCACAATACGAACAGCTGAAGAATACTATGTTACAAATGATAATTAATTGTAGCCATTTTTTTCCTGAAGCCGTGTCATTGATTTTACTTTGAAGGGTACATTTGCCCTTGACTTTGTTGTCTGTTAAGTCTGCTAACCTTACATTCGTAGAATCTTAAAAGACAAGACATTGATTGTTGAGTCTATTGCTACTTTAGAGTTATCATCAATTCTGATATATGAAATCATATAATTATTCTGTTGGTGAAATCCGCATGATACGTGATATCAGCAATTCAGTTTTTAAATTTCTTAATTAAGTCAGCTATCCTATGAATAGGGGATATCGCAAAATAATCAGTTATATTATACTTTCATGTAAATTAGTTGAATTTGATTCGTCGAGAAACATTTAATGTTAAAAAACACTATTACCCGTTGAATAATGAAGCCACGCCCTCCAGCGTAGCAACAGTTAACATTGCTTGACGACGGGTGAGGTGATATTCCAAAAAATACTGACTGTGCAGAATTTATACACGGTTCACTGTTACATGTATTTGTATAAGACATTCAGTATAATATAATAAATATTGCATGTAGTTAAATGTAACATTGAAAATTTTCACCCCTCGAAAACCATTGTCAACCTCGGCTGCGCCTCGGTTGACAATGGTTTTCTTGGGGTGAAAATTTTCAATGTTACACTCAACTACATGCAATATTTATATAATATCACTTAACCAGATCAGTAATATTGTTTTATTATAAATACATGTTATCACCAGATAAAAAAAAAGTCAAGACGACGAACAGCAATCAATCTCAAAAAAGCTACAAACACAAATAAAACACGCACCCCTCAAATATTCAAGAGGTGGGATCAGTGCCTAGAAGGAGTAAGCACCCAATGTTGACCGGTCACACCTGCCGTGAGCTCTATGTATTGTTCAGGTAGATAGAATATTCCGTAGTCAAATATAGTATCAAAACGAAGGCATAACAATTGGTATGAAACAAGACAGCCAAAATACGACCCAGTGATGGGTTATATTTGTTAACAAAGTCATTATGACGACCATAGAATTTACGAAATACTGACTTTAAACGAGATTGTTAAAATCCCTGTAACTTCAACATATCTGTCAGTAGCATATTGATCGTACTTAGAGCGTGCTCTTGAGTATCGAATAAGTTGGGAAGAGTAAACACCATGTGGAGAATAGCAGAATATTACTATTTAAATAAGGAAAGTTAACGATGAAAAAGCTAAGTCATCTCGTTTGTCATACAATTTATAGTTCTTAGTTGGCCCTTATTTTCTATAGTCAGTAAAACATCTAAATTTATATGACACAGATGAGGAAGACTATGTGGTGTCTTTTATTTTAAGCTCATCGGGATATATCGAGTCGACATATAAATGGAAATAAATAGTAATTGATAAAACATCGTCGATATATCTGAATGTCGAATTGAAGGCCACAGCAAGTGTTTTCTTCTTCACATGTAGACGTTTTCGAATAAATCCTGTCTCTTAGGAATATAAAAACAGGTCGACTAATAAAGGAGCACATTTTTTTTTTTAAATTCTGCTTCTTAGGAATATAAAAACATGTCGGCTAATTAAGGAGCACATTTACTTCCAATCGAAACTCCAACAGTTTGTTGGAAGACCTGGTCTCCAAAGACTACATAAATGTTGTCAATGAGGAACTACAGCATCCTTTTAATATCAACTTTAAAGTACTTTTGTGCAGAATCAGAGTGATTTTTAATGAAGTAATTTTGTTGATGTCCAATCAGAAAATACGAAAATATCCGTATTTAAATAATAATAATAATTTAAAACACAGGTATAATAATAATTTAAAAATAATTTAAAAGAATAGTTTTATTTGTGTTCTTAATATCACCAATTCTTATTGTTGATGGCATCTTTAAAAAATGGATTAATTATATTATCAATTTGAACAAGCAAGCAAAAGCACAAATTCACATATTTAAATACTAGAAGATAAAATCACTGATCAAAATAGGTGATATCTCCCATTTGTCTTAAATATTCGAGTACATGTTATGCCCCATTCCAATAATGAAATTTGAAGTTAACGAATTTTAATCAAGCTCAAAAGTACACTGGAACAATACAAATTGGAAGCTGAGCAAACAATGACCTCTAAAAACTTCAGAGGTGGGATCAGGTGCAATGTAGGAGTAAGCATCCCTTTTGACCGTCACACTCCCCGTATGGTCCTTGTCATGATCGGGCAAACTGGAAAATTGTAGATAACTCAGTGTGAAAATAATGGCCTAACATTTTTTACGAAAAAAGTCAGTCAACATTCGAATTAAAAATAGTATATTGTGTTTGGCCATTGTATTTACTAACAAGGCCATTGTATTGACCATAGAATTTGCAAAATGTTGACTTTAAAAGGGACTGTTGATATCCTTGTATCATCAGCATATTTAATTTTTTCAAATGCTTCAAATCCTTAAACCTTTAAAACAAACTTATTGGAATGCATATTTTTTGTTCCAGTCACTGAATTGAATTTAAATACACGTATTGACAAAACATACACATGTACATAGCAACAAAAAAGCAACAAAATTTAGTCAGATTGAACACTTCTCGTATATATTGTTCAAGTTTATAGTTCTTATAGATTTAACTCGAACATAAGGCCAAAATCCACCCTCGCAAATATTATCATTTTATATTTCATAATTTACAACGAAAATCAATATTTTTTGATTACCTTATAAGATAAATGATAATTTTTTGATAATTTACAATCTTCACACAGAAAAATTAACAATGGAAAACAAATTCAGAGTTCAGGCATTCTCCTCAGTATTTAGAGTTAATGTTTCCTGTAACCGCACGAACAAAGTTACCAAACCACGACTAGTTACGCTGCATATCCTCCTCCAAAAAATCAGTTAATTCTGGCGCTTTTACTTGCGATTAATTCTTGTGACTCCTTGTAACTAAAAGGCATTAAAGAGTCTATAGATTGCTATTATAATTCTGATAATTGTGGCAGTTTGTATTTTGTTATATGGCATCTGGTAGAGTGAACGTTGGTATGAATAAAGAGCAGCCTGGAAATTCCCTGTCACCTGTTGACAGATTCCCAGAATCTGCCAGGATATGTCCCCGCATTGTAAACATAGAGGCTGTCTCTGAATATAGTGAACTAGGTCCTTCAGGGCTTTTTGTCCTCTTTTTTTGTTGGTATTTCTGTAGCACAATACCTCTAACATGTGCACCAGTATGGATGGTGGAATTATTAACAACGGTTCCATGTTTCGTAGGCCACTTATATGTTCTGGTATTAATTCATTGATATAGCAGCTAAAATTCTCAAGTCCAACTTCCCATGCCACGGCTTGCCTCATCTTTGTAGACCAGGACTGTCCCCCTACAGCCTCAGTGTACAAGTTTGCATCTCCTGTAAAATTATACATCACGTATGGTTGTGCTAACTTTGCCTTTATATTCTCTGTAACAGATAATGCTTTCGTATATCTAAACGTCTTGTAATAATACATGGCTATGTATGACATATCAGATATACAACCATACTTGGCTGATAATTTCAACATATGACAGGACATTTTGTCAATAATGTAAATGCCTTTGTTTACACCTGTGGTAATGTACATGTTATGTAATATATAAGCAGTTCTTTGAAGAATGGTTGATGTAAGTTTTTGTAACATTACAACTTGATACTGTTTGAGAGGAGAGGCTATCAGCTTTTCAATAACATGAAGGTGCATCATACAGCTGTGTAGATCATGTGGATATGATGCCCCCCTATGATATAACTCCCTAAAAATTTCAACATCAAATTCCATTTCCGATATGAGAGTGTGTTTATCTGTACTAATTAAGAGTGTGGGGCTATCGAGGGCATTTACAATATGAGAACTGATGGAGAAACTGTGTAGCAGACACTCTAAGCCTTCCTCATACAATCTATACAGTCTAATAAATAAATTTCTTTGTGCTTTTCCATAGACCTTACTCAGGAACATGTTGTTTTGAGGAATGAAAAAGTTAGGACAGACTCCCTCATACACAAATTTTAGAATGAGTTTCAAGCAGATCCAGAAACATTCCAGGAAATTTTGTGGACACCAGTGAGGTATTGTATTTTGTTGAATCACCCAGAAAACTGTTGTCTTCATGTGATAGGAACATAGTAATTTACCTTCATCACTTAATCCATTGTTAATGACTTCCTTTAAGAACAATTTAAGCAAACCATAAATTATAAATTGGCAATGGTTCATTGCACACACAAGTTTTTGTTCTGCGAGAGAGAATGAAATTCTCCATTCGTTGTCTTCTTGATTTCCTAATTTGTGTCCTATTGCTACAAAGTGACATCCATTTTGCACTATATCATCAATGATATTAGGCTTGGGCCATGAGTGACATCTGTCTATCCATGAGGAGGCAGACGGAGGCCAAAAATCACAGGCAAAACAGTGGGCTTCATCATATTCTAAATTTCCTATAGATCCGCTGCCACATGGTCCATGAATTGTGGATTTAGGAAATATTGTGGAACACATAAATTGTCGGTATTTAGAACTAGATATAAAAGGTTTACCTTTCATTGTGATGCATGATAAAATAATTGGAAGTTTTGGCGTCAGTAACTGAAGTAAAGCGAACCCTGGTGGACTTTCAGAACAATCACAGAGAATTAAAGTCTTTCTGTGTATGTTGTAGAATTGAAACTGTGATACGTTCCAAAATACAAGGTGGTCAGTCGGCCAAAACATGGTGTCCCTATCTGATCCTGGTAATCTGAATCCTTCTCTATAACTTCCGCTCACCATTACATGGTTCATACCACTTGTTCTGACTCGATTCCCCACCTCCTCAGTGATATCCGCCAGATCTCTCCTCATGGCCACCTGTTGAGAAGTCCCCAATGAACGACACAGTCCCACAAACACAGACTCTGACACTGTTGGACTATAACAAAGGAGAATTATCTTTGTGAAAAGTGACGTGATTAAATTAAATTGAATGGTTGAAAAGATAATAAAAACTATGCTATTAATTGAACTTTTATGAATCGTTTATACTTACAGTTGTGATGCGATGCTTGAAGCCATTTTTTTTCATTGATTTACCTACAGTCACGAGATACAGTATGAAGTTTTCAAGTACTATCTATAGCATAGATAATAGTAATATCTATGTTAGTATCTGTGAAACCTTTAGAGTTAAGTTGAGAGTTAAGATTATTATTATCATTATTATTATTAAATAAAAAGCTTTCAAAGAGACAAGGGAGACAAATACAGGAAGAAGATCATTGTAACAAGTTAAACATGTTCTATTAAGGATTTGGGGGATTTCAAATCATAATGACCGGGCATATATTTATCAAACTACTCTAAAAATAGTCAGGAGATGTGAATAAATTTCTTTGACTCAGCATATGCCTCTTGATATTGTCTAAATAACTGTCATGTATCTAATTGATATCGTCTAAATAACTGTCATATATCTAATTGATATGTCTAAATAAATGCCATATATCTAATTGATATCTTCTAAATAACTGCCACATATCTAATTGATATCTTCAGTCACAAAAAAAGTTATGCTCAAAAATGATACTTTTCAGGAGTGCAACACATCTAACATTTGTGAAAATTGTTAAAACTAGACTGTAGTAACTTTTGTTTGTTCAAGTTACGGTCATGGCTGATGCTAAAAAATACCACGTGAGAAGTGCAACAAATAAAAATGCAATGTTGCCCCCCCCCCCCCCCCAAAAAAAAAAAATTAAAAAATCTGTATTTTGATAAAGTCAAAAAGGAATTGTAAAAGTGTAAAACAATAACTGATATATCATTTAAAAGTTAAAGAGGTTATCTGCATCACAAGCAACATTAATGAGATTCGTGTATCTGTGCATACCCATTTATGTCAGGAGTGAAACATTTAATTTTTTGAACGAGATCCTAACAGGTTAAAAACTTTTATCAGTATATGATTCTTTGCGCAGTATGTGATTCTTTGCTCTCTGTGCAGAGGGAGAAACCGTTGGCCCATGTAGATAGAGGAACTTCACAGGGCATCCTATCTTCATACAGAGAAGAGTGAAGTCAGGCAAGCGTGTACTTTGCCTCTTAACATTCCAAGAGGAGAACAAATGGGGTGTTTATAAAATACCCTACCCTACAGTGGTTGATTGGCCCTTTCTCCACTTTTGTCTTACTAGTACTTGGTCGTGGAGAGACTGAAAATGTGCTCCATTCCAAGTAAATTAAATATCCTTAAACTTCGACCAAGATCGAAATTTAATAGTTATTTAGGTAAACAATAAAGTGCTTTCTTTGTTAATGCAGGAACTGATGTTTGCAACCATTGCAGAAAAAAACACGCATATGTTGGTTATGTAATTTTTTTCGCAATGGTTGCAACCCCACATTAACAGACATTTTATTATTTATATGTCTGAATAAATAATCGTACAAAGAAGGTAGTACAAGTACTTTGAATTAATTACTAGTATTGATCTGTACACCATGGACTGTTTCATTGATAGAAGAGCACACTGTTTAAGATATCTTTCAGAGGGGCTTTAAAACCAGTTCTAACTAGTTAAGGTTTAATGGACTGATTAAGGGAAGCAATTTTGAAATAAAAGAAAAAATATTCAGTGGATGTAAATTTACACTACTTAATTTCAGATTGACTCATCAAAGCGATCTATTTGTTTCAATATTTTCAAAATCATCAATTGTTTAAGTTAGCTTTAAAAATGTATAAGATCATCTACATCAAGATATGTATGTATCACTACTCCTTTGATTAGGTTCATTATAGGCTGCAAACATAGGCATTGTGAATTATTGGTATTCAAAACTGAACAACTTTTTGCACACATTTCAATTAGAGGAAGTAGTGCCTGTGGATTCTGGAAGAAACGCAATCAATGGATCATAGAGGAAACACACTTACTGGATTTTAGAGGTAACACAGTTAGTGGATTTTAGAGGAAACTTTAGAGGAAATACAGTCAGCGGATTTCAGAGGAAACTCAGGCAGTGGATTTCAGGGAAAACACAGTGGATTTCAGAGGAAACACAGTCGATCCTATATTTTAAAGGAAACACAGGCAGTGGATTTCAGATGAATCAGGTCATAGATTTCAGATAAATAATGGGGGTCAGCAACTTTTATACAAATATTTTAATTTACCTGATCATTCTATTTTGTCAATGAAAGTTAGAATTCTAGAAAAGATTTACCACCACACAAACAGCCGAGTCCATCACTGAATACACCTTTCCGTAGACAACGAGAAGAATTTTGGATTAGAAAGCTAGGGACAGCCTTTCCCTATGGATGTAATGACAATGTCGATAGTGTTGGAAATCTTTCCAGTCCACAGTGTAACAATGTAAATGTGATGGGACTTTTTAACCATACACAGAGTCGTAAGACTAGTCATGGGCATCGGTCTTACAATAAACCTTTAATAGACGATGTCTCTTTTGATTCATTTCTACCATACGTAAATCAACAGTTAGGTCTACATCATATTAGCACCAAACTTTACTCTGTCCCTTTGAAACTTTTCAATACTCTTCTTGAAAAGGTCAAGGAAAGTCCATTTTTTGATTCCTCGACACCAGAATATAGGCTCGGATCTGTGATTATGGATATTGCAAATCATAGGCTTTTTAAACCCCCGCGTTTTACTGAAGAAATGCAGCTAAAACAATACGTTTTTTCCTTAAAATTCAATATGCCAACAAAGGGATTGACGCGGTTAATATAAGTAATATTCTTAGTCACAAAAAGGTCCAGTCTTGTATTCACCCATATTTCAAGTTAAAGACTACACCTTGTATTTCCTACAAATATACATCGACTATTGCTTCCAAACTTTTTAATTACAAGAAAACTTTACAGGGCCTGGATATCGAATATCTGAAACATAATCCTCCATCGTATTTATGTTCTTCTTCTCCCTATAACTGTAGTCCTCTGGACACGTTATTACTGGTGACGTAAATATAGTTAATAATGAGGACCTTAGATCACTAATTTTAAAAGGTCCTAAATTTAGGGAACCCCGATCCTTCAACTGGCGTCGGAATTTCATAAATATTACCGGTTTGGATTCTGTAGAGGACTACGCCAGGCGATGGGCCAGACATGAAAAAGAAGACCTTGACACTTTCTCAGAATGGATTAAATGTATCAGATGTATGTTAAAATCACGCATTAAAAGATTGAGGGGCAATATGAGAACCATCTATATGAACTTCTGTATTCAATAATCAAGAAGTGAAAATTTTTTTGATAGATTACATGATCAGTACGTACTGGTCCCTGCTGACATAGCAGGTAACAACATTGTCTTTGTTTGTAAGGCTCATTATATTACATGTATTTTAGATGAACTTGGATTTAATTCTACAAGTGGTAATCCAACTTATACTCGTAGTTCCCTTTCTAAGGAAGAAATTCTTTAAAATCATAAGTCAGTTTTGAATATTTTTTAATATTCCAAACAATCAAAATGAATTTGAATTACCATATTTATATTGGATTCCGAAACTTCAAAAAAATCCTTACAAACAAAGATACATAGCGGGTTCCAGTAAATGTTCAACCAAGCCTCTTTCTTTACTGCTCACTAAGATATTAACAGTGGTGAAGGAGAAACTTCAAGAGTACTGTGCAGCAATATATTCGAGAAGTGGTATAAATCAGATGTGGATACTTAAAAATTCCAAGGAACTTTTGGAAAATTTGAAATCACAAGATTTTACCAAAATCAACAGCTTAAAAACTTATGATTTTCTACTTTATACACAAACATTCCCCACGATAAATAAAAGTGCAGGCTTTTTGATATAATTGACAGCTGTTTTTTCAATAAAAATGGAACTCGTAAATATACTTACCTTGTCATTGGTCATTTTCAAAATTATTTTGTTAAAAAACATTCTGATTGTACACACAAGTACTCTGAAGTTGACATTAAAAAGATGCCTGAGTTTTTGATTGACAATATCTATGTGGTTTTTGGAGACCAGGTCTTCCAACAATCTATTGGAATTCCCATGGGTACCAATTGCGTCCCGTTATTAGCTGACCTTTTTTGTATTCATATGAAGCAGAATTTGTCCAAAATCTTGTACGTGAAAAGAAGACAACACTTGCTGTGGCCTTCAACTCGACATTTAGATATATCGACGACGTATTGTCAATTAACAATGGTTATTTCAATTCTTATGTCGACACGATATATCCTGGTGAGCTTGAGATAAAAGATACAACAGAGTCTGACACATCTGTTTCATATTTGGATATTTTACTTGAAAAAGACGTTAATGGTAATCTAACAACCAAGCTTTATGATAAACGTGATGCCTTTAACTTTTCAATCGTCAACTTCCATTACGTATGCAGCAATATACCTTCATCACCTGCATACGGGGTATATATATCTCTCAGTTGATTCGATACGCAAGAGCATGCTCTAAGTATGTACAATTTCTAAAACGAGGAAGTTATTGACAAACAAGTTGATGAAACAAGAATATCAGCTGTCTCGTTTAAAGTCATCATTTCTTAAGTTCTTTGGTCGATACAATGACATTGTCAGCAAATACAATTTATCATTGAGTCAAATGCTGACTGACGTTTTTCATATTAATTGTTCCATTATTTACACACTGATTTGTCGGCAAGGGATGCAAGGGATGCTCACTCCTCACTCCAGATCCCACCTCTGATGTTTGGAGGTCCGTGTTTGCTCTGCTCCTATTTTGTATTGTTTAATAGACTTTGGAGCTTGAATACTGTTCGTTATCTCCATATATTTCATGAAACACATTCAGTGGATTTTAGATGAAACTCATTCAGTGGATTTTAAAGAAAACACAGA